TCCATTAATTCATCATGTGGGATGTGTTTTTAAAGTGAGAAACCAGCCCTCCATCCTCCTTGCTGTACTTTGGGATTTTACAGTCGACACATTACATTCTGTCACTTCAACTTACAGAACCAACGGAAGCAGTTTCTGCTCGATTAAAACACAATCTTGCTGGCAAATTGTTTAATCTTCTTACGATGTACGAAACGTTCATTATTCATTTGGACCCTACATGGTCCAATACATGGTCCTAATTAAACCAAACCAAGGACACGTAAAAACTACCTAAGTAAACCAGCGCTTTGGATGATTTTCAAATCACAATATATGTAAGAAGCGAAAGGTATTGTGTCCGGCTGCCTGAGGAATGTTTTAAAATACACAAGTAGCGAGCAGATATTGAAGCTAAAGTTTAAAGTTTGAGCAACTGGGCCAGCGGAGCAGGGAAGAAGAGTTTGAATACAGTATAGTTCTCCTTCTCAGACAAATACAAACACACAAACATAAAACTCACTTTGTATCATTCCATGTGCACTTCCCCAGGTTATCATTAACACAGATGATGGATCCCAATTAAAAGATCATCGATAACAACAGTCTTCAGAACGTGCCACTGTGATCAAAGTACTCCAATGACATCCTTTGCCAAAACACACTTTTAATGGAGATAGATTGACAAAATGGGGTTATATACAAACAAAAGAGTGGGGCTCAATAGGTAAGAGCTGGACCCATCTGCAGCAGACATTACAGCAGCCCATTTGATGATTCTTTTTCATGGCTTCTGCGGATAGAATAATTCCCTTACCTTCCAAAGTGAGTCTTTGCAGCGATGCATGAGCGCGGCGGCTGAAAGGAGGGGATGGCTTTGTGAGGGTGAAGCGGCGCGATGAGATCAGAGCGTGTGATTATGTGGGTTTTAGCACCTTGCTGGCGTTTCCTCCTCCCCACCCCCTCTGCGTCAGGATATGTCATCTCCTCCGCTGTCAGGCCCCACAGCTCATGGTCCCAGGCCTCTTGAAAGCCCTAGTGAAAGCCCCAGGCTTTCACTAAAAAAACGAATAATATCAGCCAGTCAAACTCAAGAGACATTATTGCGCTCCTCCGTGATCGAAAGCGCCGCTAAATATTTATCTAGAAAATGATTGAAGATAAAGGCTCCCGGCCTGCAGTAAAAAATTACCGCCGGCCATTTTCACACTACGCACGATGTTAGTCTTTTGAATCCCAACACGGATCTCTGCACATAATGCATCTGCACACATAACGAGCTGTTTGATAATTACATTCTAATCAGAGAAGGATCATTGCGGTTTGTCAGAGGTCCATCAGTTCACGTGGGAAGTCCCTGTTGTGTCACCATGCAGCTTCACACCCGCTGTGCAAACACATTCCACAGCTTTGGCCCCACACCGCGTGAGGTTATACAAATTCTCTGTGTAGAAATGGAGATGTTTAATTCAAAGCGGATAACACGTGGCCGTTGATGCCACTGGGGAGTTTGGCAATTGTGTCTGTAGTTGGAATGTGATGTAACGCGTGGTGTCGTGTTTTTGTAGCCACATAAATATTGCAGGTTGCTATATTGTGGATATTCAACAGGGACACGTTCTGAAACTGAGTCGCGTAACCCGAGTACCCTTCCTCAAAGAACTGCATCAGCTGGTGTAAATATTTGACAAAGGCGGTAACAAATGTTTTGGATATTAGATGTGTCCATTACCTCGCTGTCATAGGGATGCAAGTCAAATATTAAAATGAAAGTTGCTCCCTGAGCAGCAGAGGCTGATTCCTAACGCAAAGGAAAAGGTGAGAAGCTTCACCAATGGGCCATGTCAATGGACACATGTCGTCACAAAAATGCTTTCCCATAGCAACAGTACAAAAGATTGAACATTGCATTGGATTTACAGGTCATTCAAATAACTATTGTATTAAATAAATACGACATACAATTATTAAACACATGATTACACACAATCTCTAGAGATTTTGCATCAAAGAGTTATTGCACAACTTTGCACATTGTAACTGTCAATTAGGTTGTAGCAGTTTGAGAATCTGAGAGCGGGTACAAAAGCAAAATGAGGACTTCATATTAACAGATTACATTCCAGGGAGAAACAAAATGTCTTCATCATCAACAATTCATAAGTGTATTCTATCAATATCAGATATGCTTTTATCGTGCATTGTTACCTTCCGCCCTGTTAGGAACACGCAAGTTCCCCAAAGTAACTCAATGTTTTACACCTGTTCATGTTAACAGTGTTGTTAATGTCATTTCAATCATATTTTAGTGGTTTTCCCAAACTGTTTCTGACAGTTTTCCTTTTTTGTTGTCTAAACTTGCCAACAATCATCCGTTTTTTCTCATAAGTTTAGGTTTAATTGCCTTAACCAAACTTTTTCTAACATTGTACCAAAGGACGGAGAATTATTAGCTTTTGTCTCTGTACAGGAAACCATTATGTTGCACACATTGCTGTGAGTTGGACAGTTAAACCAGCCTTTGACATTGTATATTCCATACACAATTCCTTTTTTTCTTTTCTTTTTCTGAATATATATGTATTGATATATGCACTATATACACAGTATGTCCACACACATAAATATATATATATTTATATACTGGCGAGCCTTTACTAGCTCCTGCTTTCCGGGGGACAGCAGGTCTGATGGCCGTGATGTTGAAGGGTCGCTGCTGTCCGCGATGCAGAGATTGGCTGCTGGTGGCATTTGCTCTTTTTTTGTGACACCTCAAACTGAATAAAAAGATGGAGCGGACGGTTTAGAAAAACAGCACGCCGGCCACAGACAGGCACCGGGCTGACTCGCTTTAACCAACTGCACCAGGTTTGAAAAGTCTAATTGCGGCTGCCTACTGTGTTTGGAATAACATTACCTCGATGAAGTGCACATGTTTCAACTGTGGCCCGGATCCACTGCCACTGGAAAAATGGCTCCCGTTCCTCTCCCCTGGGAGCCTGGTGAATTTGTATTTTGTTACCAGAGGCAGGGATTTCACCCATCAAACCTCGACCTTTAGGAATGGCCTATATTTTGCTCCGCCAAAGCTTCCGGGAGTTGTCGCGTTTGGCGTTCCATGGGAGCCTCTGCGCACGCCGCTCTGTCGCTGAGTGCCAACCTGATGAAAAGTGTCCTGTAAACACAGTCAACTTGATGCCAATATGGAGGTAGCGCACTCAGTCCATGAATGGAGGTGGGGAATGCGATTTTGGAAGCGATAGTCAGCGCTCAAACACTCCTCCACAGCGCATATCATGAATATATTCCACTGAGTAATGACATGAATGAACAAAAGTAGATCATATGGCCCTGACACATATTTCTCTTCTCTCGACTCCGTCGGGTGGCCGACCACGCAGGGCGCAGGGTGGCGCGGCGGCGAGGACGGCTCTTGTTTCCGGGGTTACGGGTTTGATTCCCACGGCGATCAGAGCATCAGTTGACGGTCAGTGACCCCGTTGAGCGCCTACCTGCCTCATGACTGCAAGGCAATCTGGATAAATGCCCATAGTGTGGATGTGGTGCAGAGGAGCCCCCCCACCCCTCCATGGGGATGTGACATGTTTTCTGCTGCAAACATTTATTATTGTGAAGGTCCAACCATCTGGACTATGGGCCCTGTGCTCAAGGGCAGATGAAAGACATTGGCCCGCTCTTTTGTGTGTGTCTGTGTGTGTGTGTGTGTGTGTGTGTGTGTGTAAGTGTTTTTTCCCCCCTCCACCGATTGCAAGTCAGTACTGACCTGATATCATGACCTAGTTGAATCAAGTGGAGATATTTCCAAATTGCACCGCGACCCTATTTGCACATAAATGTTGGCCTGCAGCTACGCAGCCGCATCTCCAGCCCACATTGTGAGGCAGACCTCGAAGGAGGAGAAGCTGTGGGTCAATTCGAAGCGCTTGCTAAATAAAATACTCTAGATGATGTAACTTCTGGGTGTTGGAGATGGAACGGCATTGCCCTGCAATCATGAAGTGATAATGATCGTTAAAATCTAGTCACTTAATTCTGTATTATTGTGAAGCTTAAGCTTAAGGCCCCTTCCGAGCGTGATGAGCGCGTCTGTTCGTTTTCAATTTGAGAGCATCTTATATGTGAAGAGTTTTCACCTTTTCACGTACCGACAGGATGACATATTTCTGAGCCGTAGTCTCTATATTTTTATTGTCAAGGCTTATTTCACATCTACATATTCCCTAGGCTACGGCAAAGATGTGGCCATCTGTATTGTCAACTTCATTACATGACTGATGACTAAAACGATATTGACATCATATCGATGATTTGATTCTTTTTGAAATGATAAGCCTGGCTGTTCGAGCTCTGGCCGCCAGGGGGCAGCACACAGAGCCGTAAACACAACACTTAACATATAATCCCGCCATAAAGGGTTACGTTATGTGCAGTGTTTATGCTATGTGCAGATGTTGACAGAGAGCAACATCCAAGGTTGCGTTTTTGACGATCACGATGAAAGAAAGCCTCCCTTTATTTCTCTGTCTGCCACAGGGAAATATCTGTAACTGTCGCTCCCAAATGTTACACAATGTTCACCAGCTGGTTGCTAATTGTGTCCGTTTGTCATCTGATGCTGAACATGTAAGATTTTGGAGCATTTTGGGTGAACACATCTGCCTGCTGTGCCCGAAAAAAGAAGAAAAAACTGCAAAAACTCTCAATCCTTTTTTACAGGGTTAAATAGATTTAGCTGAAGTTGAACTACTACTACTACTACATCCAGCATCTGTATTAATAATGGCAATAATGGAAGCGTCCCCGCGAAGCTGTGATTTCCAGCCGCAGACCAGATGCGGAGGTGAGGCTGCCGCTTGCCGCTCTGCCGCGAGCGGCGGCGGGGCGGAGCGCGGCGGCAGATTGTTTGTACTACGGTGGAGTGCCGCCGCCAACAGTAGACGCGTCCACACCCCCCTTCTCCACCCCCTCCCCCCCCCCACCCCCACCCCGAACACCCCCCCCCCCCTCCCGCCACCACCACCACCACCTCCGCTCCGTCCGTCTCTCCTCAGCATCTTCTGGTTAATGGATTACACAGTTTCCCTCCAAGTGCAGCATCAGCTGGCGGTGTCCGCGACGCACTTCTACCAGGGCTACCGTGTGGAGTTACAGGTACGGCAGCTCCCCTTGCGCCGTCCCTCCTTCCGTATCTGGTTTACATTTTGTTCTGTTGCTTGCGCGCGAGGGGGTGATTGTGACTTTATGGAGACGCTTTACTGCGGGGGGGCATGATGTCGTGTTGCATGCTGATTCCTTTTTCTTTCCCCACTCACCGGGGGACGGGATGCACATGGGGGGGTAAAAGTGAGCGCAGCAGCCGGTGAGGTTGACCTCACGTTTTTATTATGAACTGGTCGTGCAGGGTGGAGAGCGCTGGGTCCGCGCGCGCGCGCGTGTGTGCGTGTATGAGGGGGTTAAGGGAAGCTGCAACCGAGACAGACGTTTTCATAAATATTCCCGCATCTCCGTCTGAGGTTCTTCTGTCAAGAAAATGCGGAATGCAATCGCGTGCTGTTAAAACATCTGCACACCTGAAGCAAAGACATCTGGGCGGTTGCTGTAATCTGTTTGAGAGTTTCCAAATTAGGTCAATTCTGCAGGTCTGGCTCTGTATTTTGAAAATGAAGCGCGCGCGCGCGCACACACGCGCACAGGCATGTTTGTGGATTCTCTCAAGGTGACATTTAAAGTGGATGAGAAGCACAGTGGTGGACGGAGGAGACACACCTTCCTCCCCATGTGGAACAGGGAACAGCGCCCGATTACAACTTGCTAAATCTGTTTTTAATTGTTTTTAATCCATTGTTGACGTGATAGACTGATGCTGATTACACGGCTCGTCATTCCGGTGCAGTTAATAGTTTTTTTTATACAGCAAAGCGGAGGAGAAAAGGGCTCCTGATTGCAACTCTCAAGAGAACATGTGACACTATTATTTCCATTATTGAATCATTTGTCCCGCATTGCCGTGTTAGATTGATTAATTAGTCCAATTGATGTTATGTTCTAGAAGAGTAGAAGCTGTCCAGTAGATGTTCGGTCATCAATCATGGATGGGGAATAAATCAAAGCTTCACTTTGTAGAAGCCGGAAAAAAGCCCATTGATTTTGTTTTGTTTCCTTAAAAAAACTGAACTGTCACTGAAACAAACTGATTCTCAAAATAGTTGGTCAACGTAAAAAACTCAAATCTAAATGCAGGACTTTGTAACTGCTTCCCTCTTCCCTAAGTGGACAAAATAAAAAAATAAAAAAACACAGCTGTTACAAATTTGGGGAGCCAGATTTTTAATTAGATGCAGCATTAAAATGGTTATTTTCCCATGTTTGACCCTCCCTTTTGGGATTTACATTGGAATTTGAGTTACAACTCACTATAAACTTAATTATTGATTAACTTGTCAATTATATTCTGGATCCGATTTCTTTTGTGCTCATATTTAGAAAAATGGTTGCATATGCTTTTGCTCGCAGCATTCCTTCCATTCAATGCCGTCTGTGATTGGCTCACTGCTGCGGCAGCTACGAGCCTATTTGCAGCCAACGGTGCTAACGGGTTGAACAAAGGCACCAGTGCTGGCTCGGTGTGGCGGGCCGCTGTCAGACCCCTGATCCCTACGGATCCCCCACTTAAACATTGACCATCACAATGTGAACTACGGTTTCACTTCCGCTCGTCATTCTCAAAAATCCCAGAAATAACAAGCATTCATAGGCAAATGCACCAAGTAATATTTTGAGTACCTTTTTGTCGGATACAAACGGTAGTTAGAGGATGCGTTAAGTGGACATGCCGCTCCCGACGCCTCCAAAACTGATATACGGGGATGTCAAGTATGTCATACTTTCAAGCGACGCCATTATTTGACGCAGGAGATTAGGAATGGAGTATATATCAACTGCAAAACAAACTACATGTGTATCATCACAGTGTCATTTTGTTCAAACAATATATAAAGAAAAGCTGTGATTTAGCACCCGTTCAACACGCACTTAAGATCAAGATATGATCTGTTTTAGTCTGCAGCCCTAAGCAAAATAATAATCAAGCATTTCCCCAAGCAGCTCCACCTCAATCCGTCTCATTTTAAAGTAGACTTTTTCCTCCCGAGGATCACACCACCATCTCCTCCTGTAATGGATGGCTCCATCTTGGCGCCACGAAAGCTTCCTGTAGAGCTTTCACCTCAGCTCTCTCCTCAGACAGCACATGGAAGTTGTGCTCTAAACAGGAATATGTCACCGACAGCCCTGGATTGTAAAGCTCCTTCGTCGACCCTTCCTTTAATATCCCGGTGATTTCCCTGCGTCTGTTCACGCCCTGCAGTCATCTTTTCTATTTTCAAAAAAGAGTGGGGAAAAAAAAGCAACCCTTCCATTATCCTCCTGTCTGCTCCCTGTAATTTGTGACGCCTATGAATAAAAGACTTTGAAGCTCAGTGCTTCAATGTCATCAATGATTGTTTTGCTTTTGGGAAGTTAAAATTGCTCTCCTCCTTTGTGGCTTTCCATTGCCATCTCGCAGCAGTTATTCACAGTTTTTTCTCTCACAAAAGGTCAACCGAGATGGGACTGAGGATCTTTATAAATAGCACAGAAAGAAACAAAGAGCTTAAATAATCTCAGCTGAACATGATTATTTTCACATTGTAGACGTAGTTTTGAAGCAAACAACTAAGCCAAGTCAGCCACATCAAAGAGGGAAAATGTGTGCTTTATCAAAGGGGATGAATCTTTTCCTCCTGTTTTTAATACCAGCGGAACGGCAAACACGCTTAAAAGGGTCCAGACCTTGGATATGCATGACAAATTGTATCTTTTCACAACATTCTCTTGTATATAAATAAGACGTCCAATGATGCAGCCAGAAGATAACACAGAGCAATTTAATATTGCGCTTGAGCCAGAAGGATAAAAAAATAAATAAAGGTGGAATTGGATGCGGCAGATGTGCACCCAAATCCACTGTATGGACTTGGATGAAATGTAAGATAACGTGCTGGAATTGCTCACCGTGATCATGCAAAGTCTCAGTGCACCAGCAGGATATGCAATGCATGACGAGGAGATTAAAACCACATTGTTTCCATGGAAATGAAAGAAAGTTCGACTTCCCCTTTCTTACCTGGACAGAATCCAACCATGAAACGCATCGGTCTGACAACAGATAATCCGTTGCAGGCAGGGGGCTGTATTCCATTGATGACACTCTGATTTAAAAATGGAATGTGAGTTTGGAGTTGGTGTTGATCATTAGCCAATCTTAAAGTTTATTTTTAATCCAATGAAAAGCTAAAGCATCATCAGACAAAATCCGGAGGGTTCAGAAATTGTGTTTTTGCCAATGCGCTACGCCCCGCTGCGCTCCCTAAACACAAACTGTTTACCCGCAATTACCCAAAGCCGGCTATATACATGCGAGTGTCACAGTTTGGTTTATTTCCTGTCTTATTTTGTAGTTTCTGCTTCTTGTCTCCCTGGGTAACTTCCTGCCTTGTTCTGTCATCCCCTGTGATTGTCTGATTGTTTCCACCTGTGTCCAATCACCTGCACCTCCCCAGTGTATTTAAGCAGTGTGTCTCTTGTGTCACTTGTCGCGTCATTGTCGAATGTCCTGGGTGCCTCTAGTTCCTGCCTGCCTTTTCCCCCCTGGTACCTGTATGCGTTTTTGCCCCTTGGCCATTTTGTGTTGGAGCTCATGACTATTAAAGTATTTTTGTGTTTTGACGTCTGCATTAGAGTCCTGCCTTCCCACGCATCCCTGACAGCGAGTGCAGAATGTGTTTATTGAGATTAGATGGAACCCAACTGCTGCTGGTTACAGTTTCCAGATTATAATTAAACATCCACATGCAGTGTTTCCCCTCGGATTACAGTTTTGAGGGGGGCAGACGGACGGACAGAGAGGCCGACTGTTCAATTTACTTTGACACACTTCTATTAGGCATCTGTGGTTTGCAAGCTAACCACATTAGTCTCCTTGCACACTTAATCTGGTGTGAGTCTATTGCAGGATGGTACCTAGTAGATACTGTGAGCACCTTAAAAAGTCTCATAATTTCCTCATACAAACATAACCTTCAGTGACGATCCTCCCGTTGAGATGACGCTACAAAGAATCTACTAGGCAGTTGTCATTCTTTACTCTACAAGTACAAATTTCCCAGTTGGCTTTGGTTTTTGGACGGACTATGAATCCACATATTCCACCATACGCCACAGAAAGAGATCAGACAAATGCTTGGGGCGTATCTAAAGGCAACTGGATGAACCGTCTCATGCAACAGGTGTGTGCTGTGATTAGTATTTCATCGACAGCGGATCCTTCAAGTTTGAATCATTCTGCTCGATGGAAAGAATTCATCTCATTAGACCGTCAAGTGTCACAATGTCATTGTCCCACCAACTCAAAATCTGCCCTAAATGTCTGTTCTGGCTGAACACCAAGCTGATTGTGTTACTGAGGAGCAGGCAGTCTGCCCAGCACGCGTGTTAATGTTTTCACTCAGCAAATCTGTGGCCGCCGCTTGGGTCACGCTGCATGGGAATAGACCATTTAGCAGCATACACAAAGTAACTGCTCATTGCTTTGACCTCGAGGCATGGCATTTAAATTTTGGCTTGCGTTTGCCTCCCCCAAAGACACAGCAGCAGAATGATAGGGGACAGAATGGGAGCGAGATCACAGGCTTCTGGGAAAAGATAAGTACAGTCTCTGCTATGTTAGTGCCGCCCGACCCCGGGAGCGATGTCTCTCACTGGGCCCCGGAGCACCAGCTGGGCAAAATAGTGTTGATGCTCGGGGCAACAGTTTCCATGGAGCTCATGGGTCACAGCGAAGCCAGTGAGGTCACACAGCTCCTCTAGTCTGCAGCTCCAAACTGTCTGCTGAAAAGCAAGGAATCTCTGTATTGGTGTGTGTGTGTGTGTGTGTGTGTGTGTGTGTGTTTGCACGTGTTTGTCCTTCACATGTCTCAAGAACAGAACATCCAATTCACACTTGAGGGGTGTATTGCTTGGGACACCACAATGTGCAAGGTGTCGGAGTTGGTGCAATCTGGAAAATCTGAATAGGCAAACGCTGCTGATTAGTGGAGCAGTGGGGGCGGGGC